GAAGGAAGGAAGGAAGGAAGGAAGGAAGGAAGGAAGGAAGGAAGGAATGGAATGAAAAATAGGCCCAGGTACCAGCAAAAGTGTCATGGGGAAGGGATGAAGGGATGAGAAGAACACGAGCGCCAAAGATTCCAGAAAACCAAGCAAAAGGGGTTTCAGGTGAAAGAGAAGGATGTCCCTTGGTTGATCTGCAAGGACAATGGAAAGCTTGAACATGGAAACTCGGCTGCTGGAAAGAGGAGCAGCAGCAGGAGCAACAGCAGCAAGAAGAGATGGTGGCAACGGCCCTCCATGTCATTCACCCAGGGAGACAGTCTACCCCCTCTCATCTCTTTGTTCTTTGTTGAAGGCCGGAATGAAATGAATCTCCAAATAGGTAATATTAAACTTTTTTTTTTTTTAAGATAAGGGTCCAAAAGCTTATAAAGGAGATAAATAGGCACCACATCAAAAAGGCAAAATTTGGATAAGGCTAAACAAACAGGAGAGAGAACAAAAATAATTAAATGGAAATTGCACCAGCAATGCCCTTTGCCACAGAGACAGGCTTAGCACCAGGCCCAGAGGGCTGTCAGTCTTGCACAAGTGGCTGGCAAGTGAAACTCCGGAAGAGACATCCCTTGACAAGGTCTCTGGATATGCCTCCTTCAGCAATGTTCATGGGGCACCGATATGTACAAGAAAGCACTCTAAAGGAATAAGAGGGATCTTCATGTCATAGGGCGGTGCTTTCTGAATCCTCCTCTGAACTGATTTTTCCTGGTACCGGATGTCTCTGGACTTGACCCGAAGGATCCAAGTGAAGTGTGGCATCAACCTCTACATGGATGGAAGGGATATCAAGATGGGCCAGATCTGTAACCAGGCACAGACAGAAAGGGAGACCAATTACCAACCTGTCCCAAGCCTTTTTCTGCCCACCCCATGTATACATTTTAGTTAATCTGATAATGTAGAAGCTTTAACAGAACAGAGCAATGAGTACAGTTCTTAGAGCCTGCTAATGCCAGAGAAAGGGATGTCATAATATAATCTTTGTTTATACCTTTTTGCTTTTATTCTTTAGAGTTATGCCTTCCCTGGAAGCATTCCCTGCTAAGTGAATCTGTGGACCCAACCTGGTAGTCAAATGATGGGCAAATAATATCCGGGTGATCACCTGTCTTAAAACCTCTTATGAAGCAAGGGCTTCTTATACAGCTGCTGTTTTGTTCATTTCAAAATGATCAAATGTTTCCTTTACTCCTTATCACAGCTTGGCTTAAAACAGAAGTGCCTTGCAAAGGAGCAAATACCACAATAATCCTTTTACTCAGAATTTGAAATCTCTGTTTTTCCCTCCCCCTTTCCTCAACAGTAAATATTCCAGTCATCAACTAAAGTGATGGGGACTTTGGTTCATAAGGAAAATGTGTACATTCACTATTAAGGAATTCCTGTACTTTACTATCAATACTTTACGAATAACAAATAATTCGGCAGTTTTTTGGGATTTGGGGGGGTTTGGGAAATGGCTTAATCCAAAATGCTAGAGGAAATTCTGAAAAGCAGAGAGGTTAATACTTCCTAAATTCTAGTTTGCTGCTGAAAAGGTGAATAAGTGATTCGGTTCTCTACTACACTGCCTGCTGCTCCCTGGTGGCCACTATAAACTTTGAAGAAGACAAAACTATCAGTTGACAAAAGCCCCTTTCTGGTGATGCCACTCATATGTTATCAATGGGAAGCCTTTCTTTATCCATTCACACTTCCATATGAGTTGAAACTTATGAAATCAGGCTCCAATTCACATGGAGGAATTCATCTCCTTCCTGATGCTATCTTCAGGTGAAGAAGTCAACCTGTGAAGGTCTCCCCTAAGTTGTAACAATATTGAAGAATTGTCAGTATGATAGAGGAAGCCTTCTATACAACACGTGAGACATGCAGAACAGCTCTTCAGCAATAGCACAGAATGACTTACAAAGGGGAAGAGTGGCTCACTCTCAAAGCATGGCCAGAAAAGCGTAACAAAGGAGCACACATCCAGGAAGGAATGAATATATACAAATTTCAACTCCAAACATCACCAGGTTCACAGCATACCCCACATGAGTTCTTTCTCGAATCATATTAGTTGATTCATAAGAGAAATTCAAAGTGGGGTCAGAAGTGATTAGACACTGTTGGCAAACTCTCCCTTATGGAAGATTAGGAGAATACATGATATGGGGTAGGGTAGGATAAATTTTACTTAATTACAAACAAACAACAGCATGCAGGTTGTTCTGAACAAGTAATGCCCTCTGCAAATTGCAAGCTACTTCCAAAACTCGACAAGATGCTCACAGGACCACAAGATAACATGAAACATTCTGTTCATTCACACCTTCCAAACAACCAGCACTTTGAGGATATTTGGGATACCAAAGGGAAACCTCCCTGACATTTTCAGTTGGTCAATCTGTGTAGGAAAAACTGTTCAGAACCATCAAATTCCTCAACTTAAAAAAAAGGCTTTTCAGATTGTTTGAAAAGACCTCAAAACTCATTAAAGGGACTGGGAGATGTAGGCAAAGAAATGAGGGTCATCTAGTGCACGTGGAAAGGTCCTTTTCTATCTAGGGCAGTGTTTCTCAACCTTGACAACTCTTAAAGCTGTATGGACTTTGACTCTCAGAATTTCCTAGCCAGTGAGAGATTTGAAGAAGGGAAAGAAAACATTTTCACAGTTGCCATGATTGTTTTGATACTTACAGTCCTCACTGCAAATTTCAAAAACAGTTGCCCAGTTTGGAACCACGGGGTGGAAACACACAGCACCATGCTTGATGGCAAAATTTTCATTCTCAAAATTACTCTGAATGACCTATCCTGACTTAGTCTTGTGTTCTACACTACACTGTAGTCATTTTGCAACCAGTAATCCAAAGGCAAATGCACACCAAGCAATGTCACAATGTATTTATGTTAAGTCCAGTTTTTCGTCTGCTCTGTCCCATAATTTCTTATGGCACAAGACGCAGATTGTGCTTTCTCCTTATTTAGTGAAAGTTACCTTATCCTATGCTATTTACATAATGGACTTCTTTTCCTATCATTGTTGTATGATCATTGTAACCATCACTGAATGTAAGTGAGAAAGATGGGAACTTGCAAGAGTCTGTGAGTGGCATAGGAAACTTATAATTTAAGCAAACAAACCCCTCTCAGTGTACTTTACGCACGAACACATCCAAAGTTGAAGAAATAAGAAAGTTACTCCCAAATACTCATGGGAAACACACTTCTTAAAAAGGAATGATTCACAAAACTTTAGTGCCCGATGTGTAGGAGAGCATTCCCATTGCAATGACTACTCTTCTTGGAAGGTGAGAGAAGATCCCATCGTCTATGTGAATTGGCTACACACCTTATCTGAACCTTCCTGTGCTCTTGAAGTGCCCCAGAGGTGGTTCTTTTGGCTTCATCCATAACAGTGAGTGCCACTAGTATTAGTTAAATGGTAATATCATGACATCCCTTTGGAAAGAACACATGGAATGGCAGAGGGAGAGAGTTAACATTGGTAAGAAAGGACCAGCAAGGTTAGGAGCAAGTGAATCCTGTGGCTTGGAAAGGAATTAGTTGAATGAATTAACTGTCTGTGTTCCAAAAGTCTGCCGCATGTGAAGGCCAGTGATTTATAGAAGCACCCTCCAAGTTTACTAATAATAGTATTATCAGGAAGCTTGGAATGGGGGTTCAGGCTGGAGCAGCCATGCTGTTCCGGATCAGTGGGCCCCATGCAAGGCGAGTGAGATGGTGATAGGTGACTCTGAGACAAGGCATAGTCGCAGGGCAGGGCAGGGGCAGTAGGTGGTAGTAGCAGAAGGGCAAAGGTTCAGGGAAGATGGTGGGACTCCAGCTTACCCCAAGCAGTCCCCTCACACCTATCCAATATTGCACCACGTGTTTCAAACAGCTGCAAGGACACAATAATAGGATTGGGAAATAGGAACAGAAGAGAAACAGCAGCAACAAGACAAAAGTAAAACACAACGGAAAGTCTAAACAACAATACACCTCTCTACCCATCCCTGAATAGGAAGCTGGTGAGCCCTGATCTCTTCTCATCATCCTTTCATTGGATGAAATAGTGATCTGTCTGAAGACTGGCCCTTTAGTCCTTAGGAGGTGGCATGATGGGAACTGCTGCCATCTCTCATTGCTGCTTAATATTCATACCATTCCAGTTTCTAATATTCATATCATTAGAAGGATTAGCTCAAGGCTTCAGCATACTATGAAGCAGCTAGTTGCCCCCCAAATATAATAAAAAGAGATTAAAAAAAACTCCTTATAGAGGTTTAAAAACTCTTTATATCTCCCATTTTTTTGCCAATTCCCTTGGCTCTCACTTGTCAGCTGGAAGTATTTGTGCCTAAGTCTACATGCCCTCCCCCCACCTTTGCAAATCCAGGAGTAGAAACTTCAGCCCAATTGAAAAGAAACTAGTGCTCATCCAAGCATCAGACATGAAAATAGTGGAACAGTTCTAATTCTTTCTGAAAGGCCCATGTTTAGGAAGGAGTCCAGCTCTTGGAAAACCTGTGAGGTTGCAGAAAACTGTTATAATTGGATGTTTTCTATTAAGCATTCCAGTTCATAGTACTAGCCAAGCCAAGTCATCTCTTCTAATGAAAGGGGTGGCATTCACCCTGCTGTCAAAACAGCTGCATTATGCACTGTTTACCACACATGCTGAAGAGGGAGATTGGCACTTATGAATCAATGGCTCTGGGGTGGGGTGGGCAGGAACAATGTGGTCAAATAGGCAAGGTGCATTTTGCCACCAAAGCACTTCTGGGCCAAATTGCCAATATTTGGCAGCCTAAGCTTGTATGCCTGAAGCATGACTTCACTGTTTAACTCACCCCAAAGCACATTAAACCCTGGCCATGTTCCTTGAGATCTTCAGAAGGTGGAAAGAAAAATGTTAAAAACTCAGAAACATAATGCTGACCTGGAACAGGACTTACTTCACCTTGGCACAACTATGCCAAACAGAAATTTGCACCATATGGGAATGCAACATGGCACATCCAGGGGTATATTACTTAGTGCCTTCAACAAAGCCTGGAAGCCTGCTACTATGCAGCAATTTGCTAAAGACAGCAGTGCATGCTGGGATGTATTATCTCTGAGGAAAGCAAGAATCAAGGTCACTTGCCCTTGGGTCTGGAAATACCCTAAGATAAAAATCCTGTTTTCTTACCTATCCTATGTCCCTCAAGGTCATCATCATCATCATCATCAAAAATCAAGTCATAGCGCCAGAAGGTATTCTTCTTTCCCTCATCACAGTGATAGATATCTTATTCTTTGCTGTTTTGTTCTGCATACAATACTTGCTTTGGAATTTCTGATTGAGTAATATTTTGTAAAACATGCCTACTACCTATAGGAATAGACTTCTTTTTTTTCTTTAGTTCGTTTAAACTAAAATAAGGTTAAATAAAATGAGCATTCTTGATTTTGAAATCAAGGCTATAGAAAAACCAGAAAAATGGCATATTAAGCCTTGCAAAATGCCACCTCAGTTTTGACTTGATTACAATGGCTCCTATGCTTCACTTGGGTTGTTTCCATCTTTGTACTCCTTTTGCAGTGCCCATCACTAGCTCCGCCTTCCGTACTCAAAAGGAAGAAAAACCAGAACCCGGACAAGCTCTTCCCTGCACCATCTGATCTCTGCTAGTAATCCCAGCTGTTTCCCAAACCATAAGCCGATGTCCCACTTTCACTCTCTGGTTACCTGTGGACATGCTCTCTCCAGGAGACATGTCATCTAGTATGGTGTGCTCTGTGGACTGTGGACTGGAGCCAGACGCATTGGATGTGGGAGGCTGTGGAGGTGGCAGTGTAGGCCTCTGTCGTGGCTTGGGGGTGGGCCGAGATTTGGTTAAAGTGCTTGTTAGGGAAGGAGGAGAAGAGAGGGAAGGAGCTGCCACTGGGGAGAGAGGGCCTGAACTTAAGGTGTAGCCTGGTGGGTAACTCAGTCCATAGGGCGATGGAGTGCTGGGTGGAGTGGGAGAAAGGCTGGCCGGAGATGGCTGCCCTGTCGATGGATCAGACATACCACCAGACTGGCCATAAGGACCCTTGGCAGGGAGTGGGGTCAGCTTCTTTGAAACTGCAGATAATGAGAAAAAGAGAAGGAGAGAGAGAGAGAGGGAGAGAGAAAGACAGAGAGAAATGAGGATCACCGTTCACTGGAACTCAGCTGAGCTTCTTACTACCAGTTTCTGAATGCAACGGACAAATCCTAACCATAGTTAGCAGATGAATCTGAAACATGTCTAATATAAAAAGTAGCCCGGGGGGGGGGGGGGGTAGAACCAGTAGAACCACATATTTCAGAGGTGGTATCCTAGACACAGGTTATTCTTTACAGCCTCCCTCCTAATCATGTAACACCAAATTCTAAAGCTACTAAATGTTTTGCAGTTTGTTTGCTGTCTTCTTCTTTTAACCAATTCTCAGTTTAACCAGTTCCTGGTGTAGGGAAATTTGATAACAATCAGAAAACATGTTGAACATTATTACATAAATGTATCTATGGATGCTAGTTAAAACTGTTTGTTATTAATTTCCACGGAATACACTTTTCCTTTGCTTCTAAAGTTGGGAAGAGGAAGATCCCCCTCTTTATAACCTTCCACCTACTGTATGTTTAAGAGAACTGGTTAGTATTTTTAGTTATTATCAAAATAACCAGTTCTGAGTTCACCAAATTCCTGATCTTATTTCAGCAACATGACCTGACCTTGTTTTAAAAAATAAAAAGCGGGATAAATCTAAAGTGCTGATTTTTAAAGGACCTCTTTAAGAATGCAGTATTTTGCAGATTGTTTGATTATTCCCTTGCAGTTGGCTTCTGCTCAGACCTATGCACCAGATACCTTGCATACCAATGAAGAGAAACTGGGACTGAGAAAATAGGGGCTAGGTAACCTTGGACTGAGGTCGTTTATACTTAAGTCAAATTCTACTTCCAAGCCCTCTTGAATTTAGTAGCCTCCATATGTGAGGGAGCCTAGGACTCACCCATACGGACAACTTAAAGCTCCCCAAATGCGTATAGGCAGCTCCCGAATCCACCACTAAAATTGACACTAAGCAATTAACACTTGGGAGAGTTATATTAATACTATTATTAATTCATTAAACTGCAAGATAATCGTATTTAATCAAATTTAGTTTTCACTAAATTGGCCATATGGAAATTGGGTACCTCTGCTCTATCTATGTTGGATAGTGGAACATACTTTTGCTTTCAGTAGTCCTCTATCTTCCGGATAAATTCGATCTCAGATATAAAATGCATACCTTTCCGCAGGGTGTGTGGACTTTGTTCTGTGGATAGCTGTGCTGTAGAACCTGGGGGCTGTTGTGCAGCCCCACCACCTGGTGTTGTGTGGCTGCAAGCCAGGCTCCCTTTCTGCCCAGACACTAGTGAGAGTTCCTTGGTTTTCAGAGTGCTAAAAGCAAAATAAAAGATCAAGAGGTAGTAAGCTATGAGTCACTTTGCACACATCTCAGTTCCCTTAATTTTCCTGGCAGAGTCCCAGGGTACTCCCTGCTAAAATAATCCAATGATATTTGCAAAACAAAGCAGGTTTATGTTTTACTCCCAAACACATGCCTAAAGGACCAGACAATCTTGCACATCCACCTGCAAAGCAGTTTAAGCATGAGGAGAGCATGAATGAAGCCACAGCCCTCTCAATCATTCTGTACACAGCAATGAGACAAAACAAAAATGGAGGGAAGCTGTTTTGAGCTTATTCTGGCATTCAGTCTGTCCTTATGATGGGGAGAGGAAGAAGTGTTTTATAAATTAGGATACTTTTTTGTATCTTGGACTTGGGAGCATATGCATCCTCCAAATCTGTCCCTCATATATCACTCTTAATTCATTCAACTGTAGGCGACATAAAAATCCCCATGAGCCACTCATCTGTCAGGGTTAGCCAATGTGCCCCAATATCCAAGGCACCAATAGTGAGCAACAATTTATCTAAGTGAGTAAGGCTGGTAGACACAAAACCCACTAACTGGAATCTTAGTGGAAGGACTCAAAAGCTGGTTTTTGTTGTTGGGGGTCTCATATATGCCATATGGTGATGGCTGGTTACTTCCAAAGAATCTGCTGCTTTGGCCCTGTTGCCTATGGCCCAGATCACAATCACATAATTGGATAAAGGATTTTGCTGCACTCCAAAGAAAGAATGGGATTGCTACTCTGGTTTCCTCTATAAATTCTTAGAAACTATTATTTTGGGAAGATGACAAGAATTCTCCTGGAAGAACTTCTTTTCTCAAGTTCCCTAGAGACAGAAGACAAACCACTAAACCAGTTTTTTTAGAGGTTGGTATCTATCGTCTATCGACCAAAGCAACTAAAATGCTTTTGAACATTGAGGAGGTTGCCAGCAAAGTGAAGTTCAAAGAAAAGCCTTTTCCATTTTCCTGAGGAGAGCTGGGGTCTAAACACCATTCTCTGGTATCCCAAAAGGGCTAGCAGGTGGTGGTCACCCTTCCAGAATCCACCATGCCCTGCCAGTGTCAAATAAACAATTATTTACCTAGTGAACACGGCTCCTCTGTCTCTGGCACAGGTGCAGCTGACCCAGGGGGAAGAAACTGACATGCTGGAGCTATACGGAAGAGTGCCAGGAGGATTAGGTTTGGATAAGGTGAAAGCGTTTTTTGTGGTGACAAAGGAAAGGTTAGTCTCAGGACCATGCAGTTCTGTGAGGGAAATCTGCTTAGGGAGATGTAGGAAATTAATGTCAAATGACTGAAAGGAGGGGGAAGAAGAACAGGAAGGAGAACAAGGGGGAGAAAGTATTGGGTTGTTCCCTGCCCAATGGTATGGCGGCAAGGGAGGCTCAGGCCTAGTGCATGGGCTGGTCCTGGTGGGGTAAGGGTAGAAGGAAGAGTAGTGGGGGTACAAGGGAGACTTGTTGTCTTCAGGGGATGGATAGATGTAACAGGAATCCGACCAATTAGACGACACATCATCCGTGCTGCAAAGGTCCAAAACAAAAAACAAAAAGGAAAAAAAAAAGAGCAGAGAGCATTTGTACAAGGAAGCACTGAACTGGAGTTCCAATCACAGCCCCAAAGCATGAGGGTGGCAGAAGAGCAACCAAAAGAGTCAAGGGCTCTGGAAAAGTCCAGATGTTCCCCTGGTCTAGTTTTTTTTACTTCTGCTTGCAAATGTATGACATGCGCCAGAAACCCAAGAGGCGGCCAGCACAGCGTTTCCTTTGTCAGCACCTGATCCCAAGACAGTACCTGTTTCTAAACAGTTGGGTGTTTGCAAATGCCCTACATGGCTTTAATCTGTAGGGGCAGGGGAAGATTTGAGATATCTTTTAAATCTCTTCCAGGACATATTCATTCTTTTAGTATTAATATATTAGTTTCTGTAATGTATTTTTGTAATATATCAATGTCTTGGGAGCTGGGTGGTGTGTATGTGTGTATATATATATATATGAAGAAAGAAAAAAAGAAAGAAAGAGAGAGAGAGAGGGAGAGAGAAAGAAAGAAAGAAAAAGGAAGAGAGAAAGAGAAAGAGAGAGGGAGGGAGGGAGAGAGAGTGTTTGCCTTAAGAAGAAAGGAAAGTAAAACAATTTCTTTATGAAGTCTAATACACTAATATGCAAATGCCTGAATGTGTACTGCAACCCGCCCCCCTCCAAAAAAGATTTTAATGGAAATTGGTGGTGATGGCATTTTATAAGGAATTATTGTCCTTTGTGTAGCAAATATGAAAGATTCATACTTTAACATACATCCCAGAAGGCTTTTTCCCCCTGGGGGAAATTCAAGGAAATGCACATCTGTCTCCAATTCAAATTTTATTTACTTGGAAACTGGCAGGTTCTGATTTGAACCAGCTGATTAAATTCCAACAGAAAAATCAATCAAGGTACAAGAAAGTGGTACAGAAGAACAAAATAGGCTGTGAAATTATAACTGAAATTAAAACCAGAAATAAGAATAACAGCAAAATAAACAATCTGTAGTCAGGAAAACTACAGAAGAAAACATAAAAACTTCAGCGGCCAGCATACTAAAATGCAAAGCTAAGCAAGGACTAAGTTTTGCATAATGTAGGCGTATGCTTGCAGGTGAGAGAGACTTGACACTTTGTGCCAGGGAAGCAAAGAAAGTGTGGAATGAATTATAATGAAGCTGCATGTCATTCAGTCAATAGTTGGACCTGTGACCCCCCTCTAATTTCTTTCCCTGCAAATCAGTGCTGTTGAATGCAGAGAGGAAAAATCCTTTTCTTGGGTACCATTTACAGCCTAAGATTGCGGCAACACTAGCATTTCAGAGTTAGGAAATAAGGTGCCCACAAAGCAGCCCAGAAAAGTTTTTGGTGGGAATTGCAATTGTGGAATCATCAGGTTTCTACAAATGCTCATACTTTGGAGCTACAAAACACTGCCCTGCCCAAGCCCACAAGAGTGCACCTATGTACTTCTCAAGGGGGATTCATTGGTGTCCCCACTATTTCTAGAAGAATCAAAGGGGAATCCGTGATAGCATTTTCTTATATGGGACAATGTTATTTCATTAGATTGGATCCAAAGTCAGCATGCCTGTAGGCCTAGAAACTGTGTGAAGATCCCTTTGTTCCCAACGATCTCTCACAAGGGAGAGATCTGTTCCTCCCTGTCTTGGTTAGCTGCAAGCCTTTGCCTATTCTTTGCCAGTTAACTATCAAAAAATTAAAATAAAATAAAATACAAGCAGAGGTAACTGACCACAACTAATATGAGCTAAACTGGAGATATTAATTCCAGTTGGAAAACATTTATTTTCATGCATTATAACAAATATGCTGTGGGATATCAATCATGCCTAATGAATAACAGAGAGGTCTTCAAACTTGGCAACTTTAAGACTTGTGAACTTCAACTCCCAGAATTCTCCAACCAGCTATGCCAAAAGTTGCCAATTTTGGGGACCCCTGGAATAACAGAACAACAGTATGAGTTGGAAGGGACCTTGGAGTCCAGGGATTCCCAATCCCTGGGATGTGGCCCACTACTGGGCCATGGCCCTTTCAGAACTGGGTCACAGAAATGGTAGGGGATCACATGTATGCATAAAGCTCCATTTGGGCGAGTGGTGCTCAAGCAAGCCCACCGCTTGTGCAAATGGAGCTGGGCATGTATGCACTCACCCACTGTTCACACAGAACCATCCCCTCTCCCACCATGCTGGTACACAAAGTTTGAAAGGTTGGAGACTGCTGTTCTAGTACAACCTCATCTCAAGCAGGAAACCCTATACCATTTCAAACAAATGGTTGTCTCTTAAAAACCTCCAGTGCTGGAGCGCCCACAACTTCTAGAGGCAAACATTCCACTGATTAATTGTTCCAATTGTCAGGAAATTTCTTCTTAGTTCTAGGTTGCTTCTCTCCTTGATTCATTTCCATTACTTTTTGTCCTGCCTTCAAGTGCTTTGGAGAATAGATCTCTTCTTCTTTGGGGCCCCTTAGATATTGGAACACTGCTATTATGCCACCCCTAGTCCTTCTTTTCATTAAATGAGACCTACCCAATTCCAGCAACCGTTCTTCATATGTTTTAGCCTTCAGTCCCCTAATCATCTTTGTTGCTCTTCTCTGCACTCTTTCTGGAGTCTCAACATCTTTTTTATATCGTGGCAGCCAAAACTGGATGCAGTATTCCAAGTGTGGTCCTACCAAGGCATTATAAAGTAGCTATTAACACTTCATGTGCTCTTGATTCCATCCCTCTGTTTATGCAGCCTAGGACTGAACTATCAGTTAATTATCTTCAGACATTAAAATGGGTACATTCAATCTGTTAGTAAAAAGGCAAAAGTAAGTAGCAGATGCTACCAGTATAAGGGCAAGACAGAGAGACAGGGAGCAGGATAGCATATGGCCATGAGAATTTAACCTCACATGACTGCATCAGAACAAAAATCAGATTGGGCAAAGGGATCAAAGTGTTAGAAATGATGCCTTATCAGAAAGAACAAGCCTTGCAAAAATGCAACTGCAAACTGATGGCAATTGGAGGGGGGAATCAGAAAATGGGGATCAAATGGAAAGATAAAGATGCCTCTTTCCCCCCATATGCAGAATTTTTACTTATCAAGGAGTTCAATTCAAATTTCATGCAAGACTCGTCCTGTGGTTTGAGGCTACCTACCTGTTTCAATGTTTCATCACTATTATTTCTAAAGGGTTCATCCCAGAGGTAGTATTCAGCAGGTTCTGATCAGTTCTAGGGAACCGGTAGCAGAAATTTTGAGTAGTTCAGAGAACCAGCAAATACTACCTCTGACTGGAGATTTTACAGTAGCCTTCCCCTGCCACGCCCACCAAGCCACGCCCACAGAACCGGTAGTAAAAAAAATTGAATCCCACCACTGGTTCATCCCAATGTGCTCCCCAGTCACTGGTTCTAATGTTCAAAATGACATGCAGGACATTAAAAATCTAATTCCACACTTTCAGGTAAGGAACTCATCTATGACAGAAATGTAGTCCAAAATCATAGGCATGATTCTGACAGAAAATTCTACTCTCTCAATATATCACAATGGCAAATGGAAGACATTTCACGTGACATTATTGTTACAAAACTGATCCTATACCACAAAATAACTTGTACTTTAAACTACTGATTTAACATCCAGAGATAAAATTTAAAAAAAGGAAGGAAGGAAGGAAGGAAGGAAGGAAGGAAGTGGAGGACAGCATTAAAATGGCATCTCATCTAGTTTAATTTTGCTCAGCTGTCCAGCACTGAAAAGAATACACTGAAGTTCACAGAAAGTCCTTCAACGGTTCAAGGATAATTGAGGGCCTAAATATTGCTTTGATCAAGGAAACATCATGATGGAAACCAAAAGGATTAATAGTAAAACATAAAAAATGAATAAGGTACTATTATATAATATTAATGTATTAACCAATGGGGTATTCCTTCTTCCCCAGAAGGTGGAGAAGGAAATAATAGGGACTGTTGATTCCCATTAATTTGAGAGGGAAAGGTTTAGAAGAAAACTGTTCTGTTTTACATGATGGGTGCCAATTGCCCTTGTCATCAACTCTCTGTGGAGAATTAAGGTTTTTGCTCTTGTGCACTGAAGGTACCGTTATTTTGTGCCTGAATTCCCTTCTCTCGCTCTCTTTCCTCCCCCATCCCCACTTGCTCACAGACAAAGTGAAAGCTGAAGCATAACAAAGGAAGGTCAATGCAGGCATGGGAGTGGCAGATGTGCTCATGGACCACAGAACGCTGTGATAGCAATTGGTGTTGCTTCTAGTACTTACCTTGCTCGCTCAGCCCCTGGTGGGAACCCGAAGCTAGTTGGAGTAGGGGAGGGAGTAGCTGAAATGTCAAGAGATTGCTCAGGAATTGGTGACTGAGGAGTAGCTGCAAGTTCACAAGGTGGAGCAGGGGGCTGCATGGCAGGAGGGGTGGAGGATGCCTTACGAACTATGGAGGGGCCTCTGCGAGCCACCCAAGAGGTGTCCATCACCCGGACGCCCATGCTAGTGGGGGGAACACAGAGATACACCCTTACCATCTTGAAAGCAGTAAAGTATAAAACACGTACACACACGCGGATGCACACACACACACACACACACACACACACCAGTAGAAAGAAGAGGAACCCATCTGGGTGCACCTAGGCCTGTAATCCTGAACAGACTCCCTTTCCGTGCGGTGCTATGTACAGACAGGATGAGAGGGAGCTGAAAACATGGAATGCAGACATCATTTAGCCAGGGAGAAACCCATTGCTTTGAAATTCCACGAAGTAGTCCCTCAGTGTTAAAGAAAACATAAAAAAAGGCATGCCTTTTTATGAAACTCCCTTCCGAGGCCTCAAAACATCCTGGTTTTGGCTACCTCCAATCTTTTGATATAGAGAGAAAGGAGCCGTTTGGCCATGTACTGTTCATAAATATTCTTTAAGCCAAGAAACTTAATGCCACTTTTGTCTGTCTGTTTGTTTTCAGGGCATTGCTTGGTGAGGTTAAAAATTCAGGGAAACCCTTGCAATCACTTGCATGAGAAACTTCAAAAAGCAATGATCTTTTAAGGATAACAACATTTTACAGCTACAGAGGGTTTCCCAGAGTAACAGCAAGGAGCCTGTGAATGAAGAAAAGCCGCAACTCTGAGAATAAAATTCTGACCAAATGTAAACTTTGGGGAAACAATTTTTTCTAATAATGTGCAGCTGCCCATACATTCCAAAGAGAAAGGAAGATGTCTTTTCCAGTGGAAATTAATGGCATTGCAGGAAAACTGAAAGGGCCAAGGCTCAGTGACTGGAGCACATGCTTTGCAGGCATGAAGGCCCTGGGTTCAGTTCCCATCGCCATTTTATATATCCTTGGCAGCAGGGACGGGAATGGGAAAGGCCTCTGTTGTATGATCTTATGGTGCCTTTGCCTCTAATGTGAAGTAGCTCTGTATGTCCAAACATTTGCTCCATTCCGATTGCAGGGAACTAGATGCTGGCTTTTATGCTGCTTTGCCATGACTCTCAGTCGGGCAAAAGAGGGCTTGGTCTACCAAGGCCCTGGGTGCTCTGAACAGGCTGGGTTTGAATACTGAAAAAAAAGGCATGGTCCAAAGGCTACCCAGAAAATACTGTACCTTTGGATTTTCCTAAGGCTGCATGGACAAAAACACACAGACATTAGTGTAACACAAACTAAGGCCAAATGGTTCTTCTCCTGCATCAGCGGTGGCTATCTATGGGTGGGGGGGAGTGGTAAGCCAGCGAAGGTAAGAGGACAGCTTGAGAAAAGCCTGGGAATCAAGTCCCTCCAGCTGCAGAGTCTTATTACAGAGGAAGCAGGGTGTTTAATGGAAAGAAGAACCAGAGAAAATGGAAGGATTCTGGGAAAACAATGAGCCCCCCCTTCCCCGCTCCAATTCTCCCTCAGAATGTTAAGAGAAGCAGAATCGAGCAGATTACAAGGATCATATCCTTGCTGAGTCTTGTGAGGATAGGGAGCCAGAGGATCTATAGGATGGATGAATACATGAATGAAATGGAGATGTGTCACAATTCCTGTGTGGTTCTTCTCTCTGGATCAAAGGAGTTAGATTTTGTTCTTGGCAGCTAACGTCGGATGTAAGGACAATACTGGGAAGCTATTTGTGCACATGGAAAACTTTAAGAATCAGCCTATCGTCTTTCTCTCTCTCTCTCTCAAGCTAATTTGTACTCTGCTTGTTTGGGTTCCTCCCATCACAATCCTCTTGGGACATCTGGGAAATGCTTTGAATATAATTTCTCCCATATTTGTATAGTCAAGGATAGAATAGAGTTCTGTGACAGGGTATTATGTCATGAAAAAGTTAAAAACATATATTAGTATTTCTGCCCATGCCTCACTAGTTTTATGTACTGAAGCCTTGACTTAATATATAAAAACAATACCCAATAGCTAGAATCAGGATAAGAACAATACATGACAATTCTCAACTGTTTAATGCAAATTTCACAGATGTCCCAAATACAATCTTACAGGGCTCCGAAATTGACAAATTTTGACCTGAAGCATCTGTGTGCAGCCTCTCATCAGATGGAGTGGCACAGAAAAGGCGAAAGCACAGAGAAAGAGTATCATGTACTTCAAATAAATTCCTCCTAACTTTGTCTCTGGTTCTCAAAGGATTTCTCTCAGAGATTTGTGACTCTTCATTAAAAAAGGAAAGTCCCCAGTTTCCACTTTAACGAACCTCTATTAGGAAACAGATTATGCACTGTTCAAACCCATTCCCTTTTCATAAAAAATTGATGTTGCTTTTAGCCACTGAAGGCCAAAGAATGTGTCCAAGACTTGGGGTAGATTAGTTGACGATAAACTGGCCTGGACATTTTTGGCTAATGATGGGAAGAGCTTATATGTGGGATATTAGCTATCCATGTTTGCTAGTTGACTATTTTATCATTCAGTGTGATGTGCAAATGTAATTGGTAACATATACATATAACACATTCTTCTCTTGATGATTCCTCAAAATCAATTTAAGTCACAGAAGAAGTTATTAAGGCTCAGGCCTAGCTTTCCAAAGGCAATATGTGGAAGGCTGCTTAGAGTCACTCCTACGCATCCTGTCTGACAATGTTTCTCACAGTAATGAGAGCTAATACATACAGTAGCTGGTGCACAAATCTGGCAGTCAATGTGATCCTATCTAGGGGAGGCACAGTTGCTGCTATTAAGTAAAAGAGATGATGGCAGTGAAGAGGGTTAATGTTGGGTTTACTTTCTACAATCTCAGTGAATCAATTAATTGATTTTTCGTTGGTTAGTAGACTGCTCAAGAAATCAGATATTTCAAACTAAGCATCATGCTCAATGGCCTACTTACTGAGTTGGCAAAGCATTTTGAGGGCTAAGCAACACAGATTTACTTCAAATTAGAGAGCCTAGTTTGTCCAAACAGAGATCATTCTGCAGATCCACAGAGTTGGGAGATCAATTTCAATTACTTACAATTACTTCCTGCTATCAGATTCAGCTCAGGCTGTTAGATTATATAGGAAGGAGCTCTTTGTTATTCCATATTTCAGAGATATCGATGGCATGGTAGTTTTAGAAAATTATTTTAAAAATGCAAAACTTTTTCAAAGAGCCTTTAAGTTAAGATCACCTTTGCCTCTTAGTGTTTCTTCTACTTTGATTTTTTTGTTACTTAGTTATTAAAGGTTTTGTTATTGGACTGTGCATTGTTTTAATCCTGTTGCTTTTATTAGGACCACCAAGAGTCACAAGATTGTGATAGATTAAAAGAATGAATGAATGAATGAATGAGAAGTATACAAGATGGATAAGAATTATTATGCCATCTTTATTAATAAGAGCAAGCAATTAACTGAACAGGAATGTTAATGATTCTTTATGCAATGGAGAGATGCTAACCAAAAGAGGTGGGTACAATTTTTTTTGAAGAAGACCTTCCTGGATGCTGAGTAAATAGTACTCAGTAGTGATCATTCCTTTGTAAATAGATATACGTGACAATTTGTGCACGGTTCTGAGATTCCTTGGAAAGAATGAGTGATGTATATCCATTATGGTATGGTATGATATGACTACATTATTCAAGTTGAGTTCCACTCCTGTAGTAGGATTAAAGTGGCTTGCCATTACCTCCTTCTGAGATTTTTTAAAAATCTCAGTCTTGCCTATGGTCTTGGCATTTGTTACTTAATGTTACTATCAGTAGTAGCAGTAACAGTAGTAACAAAGGCCAGTCTGCTTAGCTTCTGAGTCCAGACAAAGTCATCCATGTGCTAGCACATTCTAAGGCAACAACAAATGATGATAATTTGTTTTGTTTTAAGAGTGAAGCCAGTTACCAATCTCCTAGAATATGGAAATGTTTGCTATATTTGTTGATCTTTGTACAAATGCATGTCACTGTTAGACAATGAATGTTCATCAATATCCATAGGTTAAACTGGATAGTTGCTGCATAGGGAACCAAAAAACCTTTCCATTCTTGTTAACAAGCCTGGATAGCATAAGTCTCCAGAACTATTGCTGCCTCCCAGCACTATGGTGCATTCACATGCCAAGCTAAAACATGATTACAATAAGTTTATGCTACCATGATCTAATAAAATAGTATAATTTCTGAATGCAGGGTACAGATGCTCAAGCCAAAGACATTTGATGTCCTCTTGCATTTCTTATGGCAGTAGGAAACACATGATAAGAATTAAGCATCCTTGGCTAAATTGTCATAGAACAAGGGGATGGTGAAAACAGGATCTTATAAGTATCACAGTGACCAGGCTTACTTCTTCATCAATGCTTGTACTAGTCTTTTACTACTAATTAATCTTGATGGTAACATAAGAAAGGTAGTTGATGATGGTAAACTATCAATCATGGAAGAAATTGCTTTGGGAATCTCCTAGCACAGGGGTGTCAACTTGGTGGCCCGCAGGCCAATGCGTCATGCACAGGCCATGTCCACTCTGGCTCTGCAAAGGCAAAAAACATCATAGTACATCACATGACGTGATCGAGTTTGACACCCGTGTCCTAGCAGAACTTCCCTCAATCCTCTAGGATAGAGATAAGAAGACAAGATTGTGATCAGATGCATAATTAATTTAGTTCTTAGTTCACTCACTGTGAATCTCATTGTACACATGTTGTACTCTGACAATAAAGATAATAATAACTAACAGACAGATAGCACAACTTTCCTCTGGAAAAGTTGGCCAACTCAGGATGACTTTCTATATGTCATATAGACATATAGGATGTCTCTCTATATGTTAGAGTAAGCACAATTGGCACATAATGTTTGGTCACATAGATCACTGCCCTGGCTTCTGCCAACTTACCGAAACTTTCTCATCTCACTTGTCCAATAGAACAAATATCACAAGCAGAGGCCAGGACTACCCAGGTAGTTAGGCAGGCAAAATAGCATATTACCTTTCAACAGGCCACAAGTCTCATGCCTGGGGATGGAAGAGGCACTTAAGAGCAGGGTGAGATGTTATGATAAGGAGATGAGGCACCTGCATTCCTTGAAAACATAGCCAATATTTCACCTAGGAAGTAGCACTCTGAGCCAACATAGCTTCTTCTAGCTTGCACCCCAGATTGTCCCCATACTCCTTTCACAACAAAGCAAAAGAGTTCCTACCCATCCTTCTTGTAGAACTCAAGCATCATGTTGTCCGTGGCCACACTGAGTGGTCGTCGGGTCTGATCTGAGTGCTTGTGGTCGGAGTGGTCCATATCAGGTGATGGCATAGAATTGTAGTTTGCATTGTGGTTCACATGCACAGGGCTTCCATAGTTCCCAGTCAAGTTGAATTCAATGTCTAATTTGGACAGAGAGCAAAATAGTCATGCACTGCAGGTGTTGCAAACAAAGGCCTAGCATGGACTAGCTTCTATTTCAGAGAAGAATCTCATCCCAGTAGGAAAGAGTCTCTCTCACACACATACACATACTACCACCACATATGGGAAGGCAAACTAGCAAATTAATATGGGACTTATCAGGTGATAGTACTTTTCAAAAATTAAACACATAGAGAAGGCATAAAACTACATTATCTTGGATTCCCAGCAGCTGGTTTCACAATTCTTATTTTTGTATTACAGCCTTAGACACTGTGGCCTAATTGTTAGAGAGGTAGTGGTCATCTAGGAAAGAACAGTAGGTAGTAATTGAGAAAGAGCTGCACAAGCAGCTGAAGCGATATCTAACTCTCACTACTAGCCTATCATCTGCACCTCTATAACTGTCTGGTTTGGTTCTGTAACCCAACAAGACAGACACAGACTTCAGAGGATAATTAGGATTGAAGAAAAAACAATTACTACCAACCTGCCTTCAATCAAGGACTGTATACTGAATGAGTCAAAAAGAGGGCTGTGAAAATATTTACAGACCCCTCACATCACGGAAATAAACTGCTTCAACGTCTACCCTCAAAACGACACTATAGAGTACTGCACACCTAGACACAAGGACAGTTTTTCCCTGAATGCCATCACTCTGCTAAACAAATAATTCCCTCAACACTGTTCAACTATTTACAAAGTCTGCACTACTATTACTATAAATCTTCCCATCACTCATCATCCATCCCCTCCCGCTTGTGACTGTATGACTGTAACTTTGTCGCTTGTATCCTTACGATTTATATTGACTGTTTCCTAGTATGCTTTGATTGCTGATTGTAACCTATGACTATCATTAAGTTTTGTACCTTATGATTCTTGACGAATGTATCTTTTCTTTTATGTACACTGAGAGCATTTGCACCAAGACAAAGTCCTTGTGTGTCCAATCACACTTGGCCAATAAAGTATTCTATTCTAGCCCTGGTGTGGTCTGGCTCTGGTTGACAGAGGCATCCAAAAAGAGTAGATGGAAGAAAAGTTTCCTACCTCCAGGAAAAAACCAATCGGCATGCTGGATAAGGGGTTCAATAATTGCAACTATCTGTAGAGAGACTGTTGCCATCATCTCTGTGATGTTTCTGAAATGAAGGAAGAGATCCACAAGGACAAAGTCATGAGAATAGTGAGGTCAAATTCTTTTGAGCACCACAGTGAACTAAATGACAGAACTGAAAGACTGGAACAACTTGAAAATCTGCTGCTTCTAATTTCAAATTAGCCTGCTTTGCATCCCGCTTCTACTGCACTCTTTGCCTTGTGCCATGTCCCATTCCCTAAAACAAATGTTAGGCATATTAAACCATTAAGATACAGCAATTTGATCAAAGTATTCCTGTTAAAATCAACATCTGCAAAGTATAGCAAATAAAATATTGTCCCAGAGTTCACATGCTTAAGTTATAATACGTAGCATTTTAAAACAGCAAAGCCCGAGACTTCAACCTCTTACCCTTCTGTCTGAGGCCAGAGGAGATTTGGCCCCAGCACAATGGCTATGTTGCTTGGTGTCATTTTGTTTGCATCTTGGTACTCGGTTAAATTTGCAAGGAATTTGATCAGGTACCTGCAGTGAGACGAAATCAAGTTAAAAATTGAAGTGAAAAAATATATAGGTGCGAGGGTAAAAATCCATGAGCTCAGTCTCGTTAATTTTATTTGCTAAAATGCCACCAACCAAATTCTTTAGCTAAGTACATGAGATAAAAAAGGAATAGATAACTCAAATATCACATCCATTTTCAGAAAAGAGACCAAGATATTCCTCTATACTGGAACACCCTCTTCTGCAAGAGGGAACAAATGAAGAAAATGACAACATCTCGATCTGAGAACCATTTAAAAACTGAAATGATGAAGGTCCTTAGGAAATGTAAAATTCCTAGAAATTTATGTATTTATCCCTCAATAATATTTGAAGTAACCCATCGGAATTTAAAGTAACATTGATACAAATTGTTAGTATTCTGGACCAGGTCCGAGTTTTAACACTTGGCAATTATCTTAGATAACTTGGCACTTGGAAGCACCTGTTATGGCTCTATAGAAAGCTGACAGAATCTTTTAATATATTGTATAAGGTAAAGGTGGACCAAACAGTGGCACTCCCCTGGGTCTTCAAAGAAGCATGGATAATTTAAGCCTTTTACTTTTCTATTGCTTTGGAAAACAATCCCTAGTACTTATATTGATTAACTTGTTAGATTGTATACTTATTATTTGTGTCTTCATTTATTGTGGGAAAACATTAAAATGCTCCTCCCCCAATTGGTCAGATGTTCACTTTTACAAAAGGATGTCAAAGTTTTCAGTTATGACTACATCATCCACATAATTGAATTTTTCTTTCGGATAATTTTAGGGCAGGGATATTGAGGAAGTGGACAGATCTTACTAGAGTGTGACCCCATCTTCTCACATTGCTTATGTATCAAAAGAAGGAGGCATCTATCAAGTTACTCAAAACTGCCTTTCTGTGCTTCTTACTGAGTCAAATACTATTTGAAAATCAACAAACATTGACTATAACTTTGAATGTGACTGTTGGATGTATTTTTCAGCAAGGAATTATAATCCCAGGAAGTGATTAAATTGTTGATCTATCCACCTGGAAGCCTACTTATTTGGGTTCAATGATGTCCTTCTCAATAACTCACAATTACATATCATATCAGCTTTCCACATTCAAAATATTTCCTATTATAGTGGGGTTAAATGCAAGATGGACTCTACAAGATTCTTCAGACTGTAGCAGAACAAAATGGCTGCTGATCTACAAGGAGGAAATAGATACTTCTGTTATCCTTCTATCTTATGTCAGATTTAATTCAGATGGATCCTATGTTTATCCCCACATTTGGATAAAAAGGTCAACGTTTTTTGATAGTGTACAAGTTGTTCCTACACTAGTTAAGGCCCCTACCTGAGAGCTATTTAATTAAAATGAGGATCTCTCAAGGGAAGGGTTGTGCTAATAAGTGAAGGAAGTGTTGTGTTTCTACTATGAGTGTGTTATTTTGAGATGCTAGAACAATCTTGTAAACTGAAGCTTACTTTTCCTGCTTAGTGCTGGTAGTGGGGCATTCTTGAAGGGTAGGCCATGAGGACAGTTCTCCTATTTCTCCAGACTCCATGTTTATGGCCTCTGACAGCAGAGTGAATTCTTCTACAACTAGGTTAATACTAGAGCACTTCCTCTCAATGAGTGGGAGCATCTCACATATTAAAGCTATTCTTGATGATGATTCAGGTGCAGAAGCTGGCTTGTTTAGCCCAGGGGAAATATCCCCTTCATATACAAGTAAAATAATGTTAAATGAATTAGCAGCTGAAAATGCTGTTCGCAACCTTGATCTAATGTCCTCAATATTTTCTACTATATGTCCCTGCTCTTCCTAGAAAAGCAGTTTAGGGTATTGGAGTGGCTCACTTTTTTTTCTTGCAGTCTTGAGCAGTCATCTGAAGATTCATTACATAGGACAGGGTTACCATGAGGGCATTATCGTTCTCTCTTGCTTCTGGTTGGGACACTTCCCAAAGCTTAGCAGAGGTTATGTACAACTATCTTGAAATAGTCTTGTGGCAACTTACCAAAGTTCTTACTAAACTTTAAGTTGAGGCAAAACTGATTGTTCAAAAGTCGGCACTAATGTCTTATGACCAGGGTGGCTAGGAAGCCATGTTATATCTCTTATTTCGTTTGGACTCATTCTGTATTTGAGAAGCTGGGAGAGAGATTTCACTATAGCCTATTTTGTGTTTCATCGCTTATTAATATAAATCATGGCAACATACAGCATTATTTTTTTTAATTGTTTCACCTTCACATATGTTTCACTTTGTCCTTTCATGCTAAAGTTTGTATTCTGCTTGTTTTGCTGTCTAGAGATGAGATGTGGCACAGATAGTCCTTGCTTAGTCACAATTTAAAGTTACAGTGGAACTCCCCAAGGGTACTTACGACTTGGTTCCAAAATTCCAACAGTAGCACTTCCCTGAGGTCACATGACCACATTTTGTATGCTTGACAGCTAGCTGGTTGCAGCATTCTATGACTTATGATGCCTGTTTTTTGGCCAGAAACTGGATATTTTTGCCCAATTTCTGGCAAAAAATGCCTATAGGAATGCATTGACTCACTTAACAATTGTGGCATTCACTTAACAATTGCTGCAAAAATGTTCATAAAATTGGGTTGGTCATGAAGGTAACTCAACCTACAACCAGCATGACTTAGGACAGAAATTCCAGGCTCTGTTATGGTGAGACTACCTGTACTGTTATCTATATGAGGACTTCCTTTTGTATTACACTCCATATTAGCTGTTATGTCAGCTGCTTCAGACTTTAAAGTTTTTTTTTCTATTAAAGATTTTAATTCATCTAACTTTCTTGTTGGCATCAGACGGCAGTTCGAAAATAGATATAATTGTGTGGGCAGTAAGCAAACAGGTTTTTTTTGAAACCAGGGACAAATCTGTACTACTTCCTAACAGGTTGTCAGTTGCGTCAGTTATTTCACTCTCAAGCTTGTGATCCAGATTCTTCTCCTTCACTTCTCTCTCCCACAGTTTCATCATTGGATTTAATGGGTTGAGAGAATAATCATTGGATTTAATGGGTTGAGACAGGAGGAAGAGCTGCAGCCTAGAGAGTGGTCTGACATGAGAGAGTCCAAAGAAGGAATGGAGATGGTGAAAGCAGAAGGGACCCTCCCAAGTTATTTGGAAAATAAAGGCAAGGGAGAGGGGAAATGCTTTCAGAGTTACAAGATACACTTTATGTAACTTACAATAAAGGGAATCTTAGTATTCATGATTTTGGTCCTGTCTGGACTACATTGAAGGGCTGAGGTTGGATGATAGTAACTTATCAGATTCCCAATCTAATAAGATATAATCTTTATTAACTATGGGTACAAGGGACAAAGAGGATTCAGTTGTCATCCCTATTCTAAAATTCAGCTGCTTGTGAGTTGTTTTCTCAAGTGTTGTGTTCCTCCTGCAGCTTCCATACTTTGTAATGTTGCTGTAATTATGCTTGTCAATTACAATTGATTTTGCTTCTTATATAATTTAGGCTCAATATTGAGTTTTGAAGTTTAGGTACCTTCAATCAACAGTATGCTAACTGAGTAAATAAAATGAAGATGCAAAAATAAAATAAAAATGAAGTAAAATTGAATACATAACTGATATGTCAGTTATTAGAAATAGGGAAGTCATGAACAGCTCACCTAGCATTCTGCTTAGTAAAATATGCTTCTTCTGTTTGAATAAAAAATGAATGACACTTCTTATCCTCTTGGAACCTTGATAGGAATAAGGATACCTTCTTCCATAAATAAAAGATAGAACTGGAATCAGATCTGATGAAATAATAGCACCTTGGTATATTGGTCCTCTATCTTTTGAAAAAATTGGATGAACCTCAAAATCAAGAGCATGTGCAACCTAACCATTCACTCTACAAATGGAGACATTTTGAAGGAAAGCTAGAGACATGGTCTCCAACCTGAGTAATATTGAATATGTATTATGATCAAATTTAGAGAGACAAACACAATTGAGGTGGATCCCAAGGTTTAATGATATTGGATAAAATCTGAGGCCTCCAGCAAATCTGGATCTATCTGATTAAGACCACAACTGTTCTTTGGTCAAGGGCTATATTAGGCTGGAGAGTTGCTTCAAAGAAGCATTTTGGAAGAGTAAAGAGTCATAAGGATGTTTACAAATGATGTTTGTTACATGATTTCTCAAATACATGATTAGGTGGCAGAATTTGAGAAGAGGATGGAATAGAAAACCAATAGATGTAATGGTCCTTGACTGTATCTTGAATCGTTCATGGGAAACTTCCTCAATGCTAGTAATGAGCTGAACATCCTGTTGGCCTTAGAGAATTCAGTGGAGGCCATTGTCCATTCAATCTATTCAATTGATCTCTTGAAAAGATGAAGGAGCTACCATACATGGATTGGTGTGGAAGAGAAAACTATAATGCTTTTAGAGTTTGCTGATCTTAATGTGACTCATAAAGGGAAAAAAAAGAATTGTGTGATTTCATTTAGTAAAAACACTGTGTTGTTTATGATTGTCTAGTGAATAACTTTACAAGGTCAAATAAATACACTTAATGCATGCCTAAGTTTGCTGGCATTTTCAGAACAGTCTCTTATAGCCATATGGCTGAACATCTGCAGAGCCAGAATGAGGTGTCCTGATGAACAGCTCTAAAGAACTGTGAAGAAGAGTTGAGATGATTAAAGAAAATAAGAAAAAAAGAACACAAATAAAAAGAAGGATGATCGGTTCCAGGTTGGATGTGCCAATTGAGTGATAGTTGAAAACAAGACACACGGATTCAGTGGAAGCCACATGTGGTAAAAAGGCTCCTACCAAACCATTCTGGAAAATCTACAAGATTCAAAATGGGGTTTGGCATAGGTATATGGTTGTGACTCATATAGATCACAATGAAGAAATCTAACAACGCCCATACATTTACTTGTGGGTGCCAATTTCCTTTAATACAAGGAGTGATATGTTGCGCACCTTTTGTATTTGTGTGTGATCCACTTTCATGATGGCACTCCTCATGTAATGCCTTTCAAAAGGCTGTTAAAGTCAGTTTGTTTCATCGAGCTTTTGATAGGACCTAGGCTGCCACTAGAACTTTTCTTAGAATCCACTCCATGGTATTCGATTTTCTACTATGAAGTGCTGAGCCCTTAGAAGTAGGACAATATGTAAATACTTGTATAAATAAACAAGCTAACCAAGCTGTTAAATCACAAGGCCTGTCAAACAAATGAATAAAGGGGCTTTAGTGAAAAGAATACAGAAAAGAGACTTGAGACACAGCAACCCTCACAACCATTGCAACCTTCTCTCTGAGGCTTCCTGTTCCACTTTCACTTCTTTCCCCCACTGCCTCCTAAGAAATGAGTCTGGCTGGCAATTTATTGAAAAGAGAGGGAGAGGTTAGTTCTTTATTAGAGATCAAAAGAGATCAACTCTTGGGCCAACCTGAAAACCCTAGCCGGTTTGTAGGACAAACAATGTGAGAAAATATATATCTAGCACATGAGACAGATTACTGTATAGTCGAACAAGTTAAAAATCTTAGAAGATACATTTGGGTAGTCTTTTATATTGATTTTTGAGCTATGTTTGATTTCTTTTCCTGGTCTGGAAAAAGTAATTCTGCTATGATGATAGTAAAATGGGAAGTGCATGGAACGAACGAAAAAACAACAAACAAACAAACAACATAATAAAGTTCTGCAAACTTCTGGATTGGCTATGCTGACCTCCTTAGTGTTCCTTTTTCTCTGACTCTAGCCAAGTATCATAAAGGGATTTTGAAGTAGAATACTTTCCCCCATGACTAGTAAAATCAATACAAAACCATATTCCTCAGTTTGCATACACCTGCCTTAGATTATTGTAGCTGGCCTTAGGCAATTTCTCAAGGGCATTCCATAGTGCTTGCAATCTCTTGTCTTGGTCCTGAATGCTAAAAAGAAAGAATAACTGAGATTAATTCAATAGCAAGGTAGGTGAGAGGGGTAGCAAATAAATCCAATAAACAAATAAAACTGAAAATAAACAATAAAATAACAAACAAAACACAACAAGGTCATTCTGATTAAACAAAAAAGTAGAATTTCAGGCTGTTTCCCCTGCATCTGTCTTTCACAAAAATCAATAGAGTTTATTCCTAAATAAATCTCTGCAGGGTTGCCATTTTATTCATATTCTAATTTGACGTGGGAGACAAAACTTTAGAAGACAGGGAAATCTGGCTATATGAAAAATTGTTTCAGGAACTCACTTAGAGGCTTTAATCCACTCTTCATAAAGTTCAAAGGTCATGAGTGGTTCTGGCAACTCTCGAAGATAGGACTTCAGTGCCCCTGTAGAAGAAACACAAAAATACAGAAAGAACTACTTCTTGTTTCAAATGTCCATCTTTTTCTATCCTTCCTTTGGCCTTGGGCTATACTAGCAGAAAAGAGTAAAATTTTGTAAATCGCCCAGAGAGCGTTGTACTATGGAATGATATATAACTCTAAGTCAGGGCTGCCAAACTTGCGGCCTGCGGGCCAGATGGGTCACGCGCTGGCCACGCCCATGCCTGGTTTAGCAAAGGGGAAAAAAAGTTGCAATACGTCACGCGATAACACCATGACAATGCTAGTTTCACACCCCTGCTCTAAGCGCTATTGCTATTAACAGGCTTAAGAGTATACCATTAAATAAATAGAATTCAAAAGAGGGAAAATGTTTTAAGGTCTTTGAATCAATCACATCATTTTCATTAGACATATGTTTTTAGGTGGATTATGAGAATAGATACAAGCAATCATCGACTTACAATCATTTGCTTAGTGACTGTCCAAAGTTACAAAGCCATCAAAAAAAAAAGTGACTTGCACTTATGTCCACTGCAGCATCCTCACAGTCACATGATCAAAATTTTAGTGCTTGGCAACCAGCATGTATTTACAATGGTTACAGCATGTGATTCCATTTGCGATCTTCCCAGCCAACTTCTGACAAGCAAAGTTCATGGGGAAGCTGGATTCGTTTGACTGGATGATTTACTTATTAACAACTGCAGTGTTTCGCTTAACAACCATGCCAAAATAGAGCAGGTTGTAAAATCAGACATAACTTACTTACCAATCATCTTGCTTAGCAACAAAAATTCTGACCTCAATTGTGGCTGTAAGCTGAGGACCACTGTAATATCTGGTCCAGTATTATAACTAGCAAATACAAGAATGCAGGCATACAAAAAGAAGGAGTTTGTTCTTTAACAAGGGAATGTATCAGTAGATAGGGAGAGAGCAACAGCTACCGTGTCTGGTAATTGTTGAAATTAGCATACATTGAGCAAGTCAGCCACTTCTCCATATCATAAACTGGCCAGCAGTGGTTGTCTTTGGTCTGCATTTCCCACAGGAAGTGCCTTCTCCGGTCCAAATTCTTGTCATTCATTATGAAGACCACCCGATATGCTAAAGAGTGATACCCTACCTGCAATGGCATGGGGGTCTGCTGAATATTCCTGAACATCCACAACACAGCAGTCTAATGCTGCTTTAAGCTTCTTTAATTTGGAAGCAGAGGGGGCCACTCGAAACAGACCCTGCAAACCAAAGAGAAGCAAAATAAAATCTGATGAGGTGCCAAACTCCATGAACACACACTTGGGGCCATATGGTATGGGTTCTCTGAAAACAAGAGAATGAATGTTTTCTCTCTAACCCCTTACCCAGATTTTTTAATTTTTTTTTTTAATGCAACTGATCTACCCCTCAAAACCCCCAGTGGATTCTAGCCAGCTTACAGAATCTCTAGCTATACATTGGACCTTGAAAGGAAGAAAGGAAGCAATCTGTACAGACCTCCTCCTGCATGCCACACTCAAGGAGCATCGTGACGCAGGCCTCAATAGGGAAGGCAATCTCCCGGCCACTGACAGCGAGATGTTCCTCTAAGGGCTTCCCAAAGGACGGCTTTTCAATCCAAGCTTCTGTAGAAGGCGGTTAAAAAAAAAAAACATACGATCAAAACAGAACAGGTTCACTACACCTGAGCTCCTCAGTGTCAGCCTTCCTTCCCCCGTAGCTCCTAACAACTGCATACAGAAGGATGATAACATCAGTAACTAACCATTCATTGTGCGTTTCATTTATAGGGCAGATCAAGATGAAGTGAAAATTTTCTGCAGTTATTTTTGCTCTTCTCCTATTTAGATCTAGATTCGGGCTTCTCAGAATTCATTTATATGTTTATATGTATTTACACTGTGGAGTCTTTGATGGTCTCTGCGCTTAGTTGTTTCTTGCAGATGTTCCGTGATCAAACTGGGTAAAATAATCAGGGCTAGATGAGTTTGCTCTCATTTCAAATACTAGTGGTTTGCCCTGTCATATACGGTCATTGTAGCATCCTTGTGTCACCTGACTGCAATTTGGGCCCTTCATGACTAGTGGGTGTCTCCAATGTCATGTGATTGCCATTTATGTGCTTCACAAGCAAATCAATGGAAAAGCTGGCAGCAAAGTCACAGATTGTGGTTATGTGATGTCTTGCTTAATGACCAATGGTAATTCACAATCATAGCAAAAGTGAGATTGAAAGTGTCTGTCATGGTCATGAGATGTCTCCCTTAATGTCTATGTTGCTTAGTGGTCATTAGACTAAGACTATCTATCAATCCCATTGAGTCCTTGCATTTTAGAATAAGGTGGTAGAAATCGGTCTCAAATAATAATATATCATTTGGGGGTATTCTGGCTGGATAGTATTATTAACTGGATGTGATGATTATTCAGTCTCTAACTTGGTAAATAAGCCAGCAATAGCAGAGTTGGAAGTTTATGGATTTTATGCTTAGCAGAGAACTGAATCATCCTGAGAGAAAAGACAGGAGTCACGTTGCCTGAACAAATAGTCCATAATGTGTCTTGTACACAGTGGCAACCTGAGAAGCACCATACTTACCTTGCTGTGCTTTGATCTGAGGCAACACATTCTGCAAAAGTGCTAATGACTTTCTGTGGTATTCTGCTTGCACTTCTATTAACTGGGAGAAAAATAAAATGGGATGCAGGCTGTAAGAATACACGATCTGAAAGGCACCATGGTATTACAAAGAGGAGGGGAAGGAAGCCAAAGAGGGAAAAAAGATGATAAAAGCTAGGCTTTCTGGTACTTACTGTTTGAAAGTAGTTTGCATAGTCTATCTCTTTGGCCACAAAATTGTACATGTCAGCTGAGAGCTGATCCTGCAGGAAGCAGAAAAAAAAAAAGCACAGATTCAAACTCAAAACACCTGAAATGTTGCTAGATGTTTCCTTAGCTTTACAGAAAGTTAAAAATATATATATAAAAAGCAGGGCAATGCTAATCGTACTGCAATTTACAGTGCTGATATTCCTTTTATTTATCTGTTTGAGACAAATCAGCAAATACACAAAAATACCGTTTCCTGACTGATTATGTGCCATCCCAGACACCAGATTTACATGTATAATAAAAGATGGATTTGCAGCTACTTTCTGGCCACCTCCTGGAAGTCAATTGACTAGAATGAAAAGAGGGAGGGGAGATACCCTGCAAATCTCCACTCTGTTTGCTGCCTCCTCCATCTCTTCCCTGAGAGCATCCGCTTTGGCACCCGAAGGCTGCAAGTTGCTTGACAAACCTGAAGACTTGGCTGACTGTTGCCATCTGTAGGAGAAAGCAGAGCAAAGTTGTTGACTGTTCAGTGGGACATAGGACTTATCTTAGCATTGTTCTTTCCTGCCTTGCCAGAACAATATAAGATCATGTCACATGGAAGGGAGCATACTCTAGCTTTCCCTCTGCCATAAGCACAAGCTAATTTTAAGAGTGAAGGCACTTTTGTTAGCATGAACTGATACCGACATTTTCAAATGCTCATCCCTCAGAGGGATTTTTTTTTACTTCACAGAAATGTCAGCTCAGTCTCTCAGTGATTTCAAATTTCTCCATTTTTAAGGCAATATCACAGCTCTTTCAGAAGAAGGCAAAAATAGCTGAATTTTGAGGAATACCAAGAAAGAAAAGCAATATGTATATCTTCAGGCACGTAGTTACTCTGTAGCTTGACTAAGGGCATAGTAACACTAGAAGGATTTTATTTATTTCCATCCAGTGAAAATCTCAGCCATGAATTCCACAGCTGAAAGGTATGAAAGACAGCAATGTTTTTGGCCTTGTCAGGGCAAGGCCTCTGGCTAATAAAGGATGTTGAAGTAACCATGTCTATCTCAATGCAAATCTGAACATTAATTTTTTCCTGGTCAGTAAAGATTTAAAACCTATGGTAAAGAGAATGAAATTCTTCCTGTTCTCTTTTCTTTGGGACTTTGAAAGAAATCTTTCTGGATTAGAATAGCAGAGACAATGGAATTCTATAGACCACTATTTTAGTTGACCCAGATGGTGATTACAGAATTCAATTGTCTTTGCACTTTTCTGAGAATAGGAAGAGGAGATTGGGACCGATTACTGGAGACCACTTAATGACTCCATCTCTCTAGATGGAAAGAGATACCTTATTCAAGTTACCTTCATCCCACCCATGTAGGGTCCATATTGCTGCATTCTGATGATGTTCTGGAAACCCCTGAAAGCTTGATTATTTTCCCAAGTCTTGGGTAGGATGGCAAGAAGACTCAGTAACATTCTGTTTTATTTTATATTATTCTTCTTTTACTGGATGTGTATCTTTGTTCTTTCATTTTATTGTTCCAGCTTTTTTATAATGTAAAAAGATTCTGTGTCCAGAACCACTGTGAGTCGGGTGTTTTTCAATCTATGCAAATAAATACATCTTTGAGGAAGCTTCTCCCTCCCCCCATTTTTTTAAATTGTAAAGCCAGCACTAAAGGATTTCCCCCTGTGCCACAATGGCCACTGCTGACCCAAACTGAAGGCTGATGGAGAGAGAGCACACATTTGTACAATCCTGATGTATAAATGACAGGAGACAGGTCAGTCTAGCATAAAATCCATCTGGGATAGATTTTCTTTTTCAATACTGAAAGCCGCCCTAAGGAAACTTGTTCTAAAAACTAGTCCAGCAATAAAAACAGACACATGAAGCAAACAAAAGACTTGGCATTGCAAAGGCAACTGAGAAAAAAAAACTCTCTTACCTTGTCCTTGATGAATCCATGTCCAGAACTAATTTTGCTAAGTGCTTCCTCTGTTTTTGAATATTTGGGATTTCTACCTGTAGTAATATTTTTAGTTTTAAAAAAAGAAGGGTTTAAAAAAAGAATAAGACTGCATTGCAAATTTTATGTACTGAACTTAAATGGCATCATAGTAAATGTGCAGGCCTAGCATTACAGCCAATGCCAGAACCATGGACAGCTCCTATCCTATGAGAACACTCACATGGCCGGCAAGAGAACTTGCCACCATCACCTTCTGAATAGCCACTGGGGTTTAAGGAACAAAGCTGGAAGGAAAAGAAGCCTCCACCTAGAACAGTTTTACAATGTGGTATTTTCCACATGTGTGGCATTCTGGTAATCATAAAACACAAGTAGGTGACTATATATCCTGAAAACTCTCAGAACCCTTTGCTTAAAACATCCTAAGAGCACAAGGAAAGATGTGTGGGGGCACAGAAGAGACACTTGTAGCTCTGCAATTCCTGTCCCACAGTACTAGTCACAGAGAAAAGTTAATAGAATTTCACATACATATGTATATATGAATGAAAGAAACCTGGATTTTATAGGTAGTTCTTGGTCAATGACTGGCCTATTTAGCAATGGTTTTAATTTATGATGATGCAGAAAAAGTAGTTTTATGAATGGTTCTCATACTCATGACAATCGTAGCATTCCTATGGGCACACGATTGAGATCTGGTCACTTCACAAGTGGCAGGGGTTTACAATGGTCACAGGGGGTATCACACAGTCACCTAATTACCATTTGCAAGCTTCACCAGCAGCTTTTGACAGGCAAAGTAAATGGAAAAACCAGCAGGAAGTCACAAGTTGCAGTCATGTGATGTTACTTTTAATGACCACAGGTGATTTAAACAGAATCACAGAATATGTAAGTGTGGTGCAGGGATGTGATGTTTCACTTAATGACTATGTTGCTTAGAATGTAGTTGCCTGTCTCAATTGTGGTCATTAAGTAAAGACTACCAGTATTTGTTTATGTTTTCTGCAGATAAATCCAGAAGTAATTAAACCAGACCGTATCTCTATAAATAAACAGGAAACAAACTGTGAATACTCTCTCTGTTTAGTTCCTCTGTGAAGTACCTTGCAGATGATATAAGCCCTAAACAGATGCTCACTTCTGGCTCTTATACTCACAGTGATAAACATGGCTCATTTAGTACTTGAACACCAGGATAGGATCAGATGCATTTTTCCTACTTGGTGGTGGATTTGACTTCTTAAACCTTGTTAGTTCCTTTCATTTTGTTGATATATTGCTTCCTTCCACTTCAGTATCCAAACTCCGAAAGGCCAGAGGCCACAAGTTTTTGACTAGAAACAGATTCTGAAATGCCTCGTATTCTCAGATCTGCTAGAGAACCACTCCCATTTACCTTTCCCTAAAAGACCCAGGTCAGAGATTCACTTTGAAATAAGCAACTCTTACCTCTGCCAACACAAACAGTGGCTCTATCACATCCCTTTCAACTTGCAGCTCAAAGTGGATGAGCTCTTGAGATAGCTTGTCTTCTGCTTCTCCACATAGTTTCAGCATCTTCCTGCAAGGAGAACAGGCAGCTCTCAAGGGAGAAAGCAAGCAATAGATTAAGACAGCACTTGATCCAAGAGATGTTCCTTACAGGCAGGGCAGGGCAGATGTCTAATGTTGCTTAGAGTCACCTGAATCATGACATGGGCATCAAATGAATCTGACAAACAAACAAAGAAACAAACAGTGTGCCATTCTTTAGACTCAGAAGGTTGCAGAGCAAGAAGGCTTCTATGGCTTGTCACATTTGGGATTTTACTAGACATTTTTCCACTGAAAAGTCACTTTCAGTGATAAATAAATAACCAGTAAAAATCATGGATGGTAAGAAATGGCTACATGCTGTTCTAGCTTCATGCTCTGATTTATCCCTCGATTTATCTGACTCGAGGTTGCATGTTGGAGATCGATCATAATGGATCGTAAAGTCCTAAGCTAAAGAGGTCTGTAGGAAAAACAGTGGCTTATTTACAATTAGTAGAGGCAATTCAAATGGGCGGAAGGGTAAATTATTTATCAACAAACACTGTATTTGTGGCTTTAATATCCCCCCCCATATGTGATGATTTGTGCTTGTGAGTGCCTCCCCTTTTATGAGGAAAAGCTGGAAGTGAGGCTCATAAAATTAACCATTTCAACCTTACCACAAGCACTCAATGTGTTTTTCAAATGAACCAATTCCCCAAATGGAGAAACTTTATTGTGATTGAAACACCTTCCTAGCTTCTCCCTTCCCAAAGTGGTAGCTGTTCCACAGACACAGGACTGGAATCTTACCCAAGCAGGGAGTCATCTCCTAGGATAGCAGAACCCTCCATCAAGCACTGAGCAAGTGACGTCAAAGGCAATTTCTTCTGCAACAAAAGCAACTGTTGTATGATTTATTTTAAATAAAAAAAGAATCAATGACATCCCAGCCTTTTCATCTCTTGTTCAGAAAACAACTCTACTTTCAAAGAACCAGTACTTCGAACCATTCACTTCCCACCATATTCTTGGAAAATTCATGCATATACATGAAAGGGGAAAGTCCCTTGAAGGGATATTTGCATCTTAATTCCTCTGCCTTCTCTTTTCAGGGTAAAAGAACCCTATTCCCTGATACAGGGGATACCAGGATCTCTCACCGAGCGCTTATCAGAATCTGATCCCTGCTGCCCCTGAAGACATGCCGTCAGCTTCTTATGCGTGCTGTGGGAGACCTGCTTCACCAGCTCCAAACGCTTCTCCACCTGTGGATGGACATCTCACATATCACATCAGAAAAATGCATCCTCATCTCCCAGCATGCAACTTTCCTCAAGGTAAATCCTCTTCCTCGAGGTAAACTGCTCCTCAAAGTAAATCCAGGCTATGCATGGACAATTCTTACAGACGTTTTCATAATTCAGTTACAATTTGCTTTCTGAAACAGGCTCTTTTTATAGCATGCTGAACTGTGCAAAAGGAGAGAACATATCCCATTACTCCTTAACACAAGCATAACTTTAATACCTAGACCTAGTATTATGCTAGGCCATAATGTGGTATGTGTGACTGGGTACATCCTGATTTAAAGAAGTTGGGCAGAGTTTGTAGCTTACTGATTGTAACAGATAAGCAAAAGTAGGCATATGTGGCTTCTTTGTGATTTCTTAGCTTATTCTTTGTTTGTTGCTGTAATTGACCCAACCACCTGATTAGTCTATAGAGGTATGATGGGATATCAGTTTTTTAAAAGGAAAAATACTGATAAGACCAGTATCAACAAACAAGCAGTGACGGCCATAGTTATTTTCCATATTGATTTATTGAGAAACCTATGAATCTTACATTAAAACAACTGTGATTTTGCATGAATTGTAGCACTTAGCATGAATAGTGCATTTGCTTTTTATATCCCAATAACATATAAACTATTGCAGTTAGTAAACTAATTCAACAGGAAACAAGGAGACAATTATTTTAGCATTCATTTTAATTAAATGTATTAAAATAGAATGTAAACGTTGTTAGCCTAAATAAATTTGTACTAT